GGCATGACCTGGATGTCTGGACAAGGGGTCTCTTACCTGCCCTTTCTTCTTTTGGGGGGTGGGGGGTGATGAGTAGGCAATCAGGATTAGGTGACTTGTCTGGGGTCACATAGCTAGGAAATATCTGAGGTCAGATTTGAACTCAGGTCCTCCTGATTCCAGGGCTGCACCACCTAGTCACTCTATTGACTATCCTTTCTTCCTCCCCTCAAGCCTGAATTTTATAATACCCAAGGCCTGGAATCTGTATATCATGATAGATATGTCTGCAGATGTGGTTGTATCCTATTTCTCCTATTGACTGTGACCCTAAATATAGCCTTAGACTATTTTTTTTTACCACTAGTCACCAAGCTTCATCTACCCATTTATTTAAAGTTACATTCATTTCCTTTGGTGAGGTAAAATGTACCTATGTTTAAAAAAAATGTCTATTACCTTTATCATTTTTGTTTGGATTATGGCTCATGAAGAAGCATGAATAGAGAGATCTAGTATCTTGTCCATCTCTCTCCAAGTAGGTCTTAGATTTCTACTTGGAGGGGAACAAGAGAAGGGCCCATGAATCTGTTTTCTTGTGAGAAATTGGGGTCCTAGACTAAAATTGTCTCTGTCTCTCTAAATAATGCGACTCTAGGAGAATGATTTTCTTCTTAGGTTTAAGCTATTTCCTTGGTCTTTATCCCTCAAAAGAGGAAAGGATTTGCCAAGTTTACATACACCAGCTTGGTTCCATCCCAACAAATTCTAGTTAAAGAAATGACTATCACAGATAGCTAGTCAGTTGACCATTTATCAAAACAGATAGCAAACAGAAATCAGAAAAGTTACACAGATTAAGTAAATAAGGTCTCCTACTGGGAGCAAGCTATCTCTGCTCAACCAAGAGAAAGAAACCTTGATGTCATCTGAGAAGAAATTAACCAATGTCTCTAGGGAGGTAATCTGAAAATTGAGGATGATGGTGAGCGATTGTCTTTCCTATACATGTATGCCTTCAAATGTTTTCTCTCTTAATTCTCAGTCATTCCAGAAGAGAGTCTTGAACTGTGTTTCCTCAGTTCTCTCACTCAAGAAGCTCTCTCCTCTTCAAAGTTCTCACACCAACTCCACTCTTCACATAGGCATGTGACAGTGAGTCCACCACATTCCACCAATGAGAAAAGTCTTATTCAAATGCTCCAGGTTTGCTTGAAACCAGGATTACATTAATCTTTTACATTTCCTTTTCTTTCTTTCTTTCTTTCTTTCTTTCTTTCTTTCTTTCTTTCTTTCTTTCTTTCTTTCTTTCTTTCTTTTCTTTCTTTTTTTGGCTACGCTCTATGAAAATTCATCTCTTATGCCTCATTATAGAATGGAGATGACACCCCGGGTTCTCAAAGCCAATACCAGTAGATCATGATAAATGACTATTAGCTGCAACCAGGAAGACTTTGATTAAGAACCCAGAACTGAATTTTGTGTCTTCCAAGGATGAGCCTAGTTTGGGTCACAGAGACTTAGCAAAATATGACCCATTGGTGATGAATATTTTTGAACACATCACATAAGGAAGGACTTAAGATGTATGAGCATTTAAGAGGTAATCTGGTGGGGTTAATATTGGCAGTAATTTTAGCTCTATGAAATATTGAAATAATAATGTATCATGCCATAGTCTCTAAAGTTTATTACTTTTCTAGGCACTTTCCTATATGTAAGATACCCCGTCTCTCAGGTCCTGGAATTTTCTCTGGCTGTCCCTCATGCGAGAATGCTTTCCCTCCTGTACTCCAGCTACTCACCTTTCTGGTTTCCTTTAAGTCCAACTAAATCCCACCTTTTACAGGAAGCTTTCCTCAAAACCTCTGAATTCTAGTGCCTTCCCTCTGTTAATTATCTCCTGTTTATCCTATTTATAGCTTGCTTTCTATGTATTTGTTTCCATGCTATCCTTAAGCTCTTTAAGGACAAGGACTATTTTTGCCCCTTTTTATCCCCAGGGCTTAACACAGTGCCTAGTACATAATAGGTGCTTAATAAATGTTCATTATTGATTGGTTGAAAATAGGACAGGTACAACAAGACAGATTTTTTTTCTTGTTCTCTTCATTACTCTGTGGACCATATATCTAAAAGAAAGGATGAGATCATTTAGTTAGTTTGAAGCTCTATGGGCAAAATATGGTTTCCTAGCAACTGGAACTGCCTGAAAGCTTTCTTCCTTTGTTTCAAGATTCTTCCCTGTCTGCTAATATTTTAACTCCTCATGTAGGCTCTTCTGCATCTGTCTTCCCAGCAGAAATCTGTTTAGAAAAATCAGGTACAAGTCAGGATGGCTGAAATTTTTATGACCTAGTTATTATATCTACATAGTGCACTAAGATAAGAAGGGTAAAAGTAAATGAAGAATTCACACTGAAAAAGAAAATCATAAGCAATTAAATGATAATTTTTTTTCCTTGTTAAGCTCCAAAGTATGAAGTATATTGGAATAGTCCAAATGGCTACTCTTTGGATGCAGAGGCTGTTTTTATACATAGATATGTCTTAGGGAATTGTCCTTTTAGTGCCACTAATGGAAAGAAATAGAGTCAATTAAGCAGTCAGGCACCACAAATGTAATAGAAATAGGTAATCTTGAAATCTAGGAGAAGCATAGGGATGAGATGCTATTAAATAAATTATTAAAAGACAGTAGTAGAAAGAAGTGGTAATTAACTCCTGATATATGTGTAACACACACATTCCCACCTAGTTAAAGTGGATAGTTTTTCTTAAGAGAAAGCCCTGTACTATATGTTATGTGGCAAGGCAGAAGATGACTCCTGATTGGCTGAGAGAATGCTGAGTACTTCTTTGGAAGAGGGTTTGGAGGAGCACAGTTTTGAGAGGCAAGATGTAGCCTTTTGAACAGCAGACTGGAGAGATCCCCTTGGAGAAGCAGACATGCAGAGGAGACAATGACCCTCCAGCATTTCACTTAACTTCCAGTGCCTACAACTCTAAAGACAGTTGACAATAGACTTCCCTTTTTAAAATCTTTATCTCTCTACTTGATTAAGCTGGAGTGTTTTATCCAATCACTAGCCAAAGAGCTCCTTTACTATTGTGTTCTTTGGATAATTCTAACTTGTATAACTTTACCAACTCCTGTTTGTTATTTTGCTTGGATAAATTAGTTTATATGATACTATTTATGATAATTTCTTGTGTATCCTGCATTTCATGGGAGGGAACTCATCTGGTGATATTAAGCTATTACCCTATCTTTGACAGTGACCTGGGAATGGGACATTGATACTGTGGGGAAAAAATATTTCATTATTGATCATTTATTAATATTGTTTGAACCTAGCTTTATGTGGCTAGAAATTGTCTAACCCAAAACTGTAGAAGTCAGGTTGACCTCAGAGGCACTCCTGTGAAGCAGGGCATGCTTGAATCCCACTCAGGTCTTGAATTCACCCAGTACTTATGTTTTGGATCACTAAATTTGAATGTTTATGCTTACTGATAAAATCTCAATGGCCCTTATCTGGAAACTGTCCCCTCTACAATCTTGCTTAACTGCTTAAACTTGTAGTTCCTTCAGGTATTATTGTCTGAACCCTATATAATGTAAACCTTTCAGAGACTGTAGAGGAAACCACACCTCCTTTCTCACTCTCTCCTTACCAAACAACCTTAAAAACATTTTTTTTCTGAAGTTATTCAGGGATTTGTTCTCACAACCAACAATTCTAGGGCCCAAAGCACATTCTTTAGACTATAAGTTTTGTGGGTAAGGTGGAGAGATATAACTCTAACCCCAAACTCTTCTTGGATATAGGCAAGCACCCAACCAAGCTCCTCCCCCTAATTTATCACATAAAATGGTTTCCTTTGGAGATGGGTGGGCCAGACTCCAGATCAGAAATTGATTGATAGATACTACATATGAGCCAAGTCATATCTTTATATTTGGACATCACCAATCTTACACATTCCTTATAGAGGGTGCAAGATGTTTATATCTTCAGGCTTCTCCAAGGGTGGGATGCAAGGGATGTAATACCTGCCTATTGCTCATAGACCACATTGTACCATGGAAGCCCAGAGTACTTAGCCCAAACAGAAATAATTCAGCAGACGCATATAGAAGGAAGATAGCAGAAATCAGCAGACAGCCAGTTAAGAGAACCAGAGGATAAATGAAGGCCCTGATTACTAATCTGCTATCTTTGACTACCTTGGGAAGCTTCCTTAGGTAAAAGTAACTGTACAGGAATCTGGAGTACCAACTCATTGACATTGGGAATACAAAATCTGACAGAAGCCTCTCTGAAGAGCCATCATTGAACCTCCTCTTCCCCCTCCCATCCTGCTTTTCCAGCCTTGGCCTGAAGATCAGCTTGCCCAAGGTTCTAGCAGTTGACCTAGTAATACACTATCTTTCCCAACACACGCACGCACATGCGCACGCACACACACACACACACACACACATACACACACACACCTCAATCTGTACTGAGTTTATCAGCTTTCTTTCTGAAGGTGGGTAGCATGTTTCATCATGAGACTTCTGGAATTGTGGTTGGTCATTGTGTTAATCAGAGTACCTAAGTCTTTCAAAGTTGTTTATTGTTCTTGTACAAATTTTTCTCCTGGTTCTGCTCACTTCACTCAGCATCAGTTCATACAAGTCTTCCTAGGTTTATCTGAAAACATCCCCTTCAACATTTCATACACCTAGCAGTGAATATGTAATTATTCTAAAGTAAAATAGTCATTTCAGTTCTCAAAATAGGATAAATGGATTGAACTAGAGAAAAGGCATCGAAGTGTGAGTGCAGAAAGGACTTAGAGTAGGGATATGCTAAGAACATGCAAGTCCACAGTTATACATCCAGGAAATGTTGCCCTGGTTTATTGTGATCGGCTTGCTGAAAAGAACAGAAGTTCTGCCCACTCAAATCTCCTTAGCCTTGTGGCTTTCCCAGGTAACCCCAGACACAGGTTTGCTGCCTACTCTGTCTTCACTTTCTGTGACCATTCTCTCCTCTTTCAGTGTTTTCTCCTCTTTTCTTATCAGTTACCGAGAGTTTCTTAGGTGTTGCTCCTTTCCTAGAGAAAAAGATATGATGAATTAATTTACACTAAGATAACTTACATTGGCTCTTTGGTTTCCTTCTCTTTCCCCTTCGAAGAGTCTGTAGGGACAATAATGTTTATGGAAAAGGTAAGAATGATGAAATTTGAAGTACTGGGGCATTTGGGTATGGGAGATAGTTTGGGTCAGGGGCGCCTCCCTAGAAAACCCTTGCATCACACTTTGCTAACAACTTTAACTATCCATAATTCTAGCCTGGAATTATGAAAAGTTTCCGGCTTACTCCAAGAAGTACTTTCCAATCATTAAGATATTTTCAGACTAATATTGGTTGAAGGCCTGTTGAAGAAGCATGAAATTCTTGATTTAAGAATAACTCAAGTAAAGTCCAATACTTAATGAAACTGTGTACTCCAAGGAGCACAGGTGGCAGTTTATTTTATGAGACAACATTGAAATGCAGGAAAATATGATAGTTATTAAGCAAGTTTTTTTTTTCACTTCTCCAACAATCCTAAGTAATTTCACATCATAGGCATGTTTTTGACTTAGACAAAACTAATACCTTATATAACCACTAAACCAATCTTTGACAAAAGCTTTCAAGCTGGTAACTTCTCCAAATATGTGTATTAGTCAGAATATAGGTTAAACTGCTAAACAAAGAAAAATGAAGTAAAGCCAAGTTATTAACTCTTCCCATGCATGTTTCACTGTGCCATACTTCCACAATAAAATTTAAACCATCTCTTCTAAGGAAACTATCCATCTTATGGCTGTAACCAAATATATTATATTGATTTAAATATAGACCATACATTTCCCACTCCCCCCAAAAAACTGAACTTACATAAAACCTGAGTGCAGCTGATAATCAATGTTTTTTGTTTCTTTGTTTGACCAACATGCTAATTACCAAAACAATTTTTAAATGCCTTTATGAGAGTCTCCATGTCATGGGGAGTATTTTCCAATGCTACATTTAATCTGTCTAAAACTTGGATTTCCCCTATGTCAACTAGTTATTATTAGCTAGGAAAACTTAATGGGCAGCCTAGCTTCCCAGACCAGCAGCCCTCTGAGTCTATTAGCTGGCCTTAATTAGCCCTTAGGCTCTGGAATCTGTCATGGCCCCATGCAGGAAACATAATAAGAGCCATCTGCCGGTTTCCTGGTCAGCATCCTATCAGTTTGACTAATGGGTAGCCTTATCTGAGTATCTCCATTTCTTGACTTGGGTGCCTCTCTGTCTCTTTGTCTCTGTCTCTGTGTCTCTCTATCTCTCTCTGTCCCTTCCTCCATTCTTCCTTTCCTTCCTCCCTTTTTTCTCTCCTTGCCCCCCTCTTGTTTCTTCCTTTCCCTCCCTTCCCCCCACCCCATCTTTTTTCTCCCTCTCTTCTTCCCCCCCATTTCAAATTATGTCATGCTTACTTATCTTTGTCAATATTTTAAAATACAAATTTTTTGAATGCGAGGACTTTGTCTTTGTCTCCTTCAGTGCCTGATGCAGGTGCCACATCCATAGTATCTATGGCAATGCATGCATACTGTTAAACTGAATTGAATCTCCTAGCTTTCTCTCTAATTCACTTTATCCAGCATTCAGAATATGCTACTCCATCTGCCTCCAGGAACATGCTGGGTTCTGTTCTGCAGCCAATTTAATTCAACAAGCATTTATGAGGTGAACAGGGCAATAATCTTCTCTTTCTAATCTCTTAGATAATTTAGATTTTTTTTTCTCTCTTCTTACTTCTCTCCTCTTTCCACCCCCACAACACATCCTCTTGTGCTGTTCCCTCTGCAATTTCCTTCGTAGGAATTAGGACTGTGATGGGCTATAGAATAGAAGGCAGAAAACTCCTGGGAAAACAGAAATATTTTGGAATTATTCAGGAACTTGGGAAAACGAGGAACTTCTGGGCATGGCCTCTGCCTTCTGCTCCTCAGATAACTTTTAAATTAGAGTTTGTTTCTCTTAAATAAAAACAGAAACTATTGCCCCAGGCAAGTAGGCTAGAGCTCTGGTGAGAACTGAAACTTATGTTTAAAGATTTTTTAAAAAGAAGCTCTTTTTTTAGTGCTGCTTTAGGCCTCTATGTCTAAGGCAACCAATTACCTCAGTTCCCTACTACTGGCCCTATTCTCTGTCTACATGTGCTTTAGGGAGGAAGTAGACTCCAGACACTTCTGGCCTCACCTGTCTTGTATTCTATTTCTTCAGGAACAACAAATGAAAAATACAAGAGCCAAGAACCATGTATACCTTATTTAGTACCTTCCCCCCCCCGCAATAGAATACTCATTACTCTTTCCTTTTCCTTTCTCCAATTCTACATTACATTTGTACTGTACCTGGCATATTTTAGGAAGAAATTTGGTTCCAGAACTATAAACATTTGGAATCTACTTCTGTTTATCTCATCTCCAATCTCTTATTCTATTCCAAATTCATCTTTTCCTTCTGAAATATCAACTGATCAGCCTCCTGTCCACAGTTGATAGCCAATTTTTAAAGCCCCATGTGTCTCTCATAAAATTTCTGTTACACCAATGCATGAGTAATTAGGTTCATCTTCATTTCATACTTAAGTACCAGAGAAGGCTGCTAGCCAAGTACTTGATCCATTGATAAGGTCCAAATGTTAGCAGTCCTACATTTAACAGGCACTACACATCCTATTCAACAACAGAAGACTCTCTGAGGAGACAAGTCCTCTATGGCTCTGCTTACCTCTGTTCCCTTACTTGGATTCTTTTGTGTATAGTAGTACTTGCCTATTTAGTCTAGAGGTGTGGTGTGTATGGATTTGAGTCAATAGTGTGCTATAGTGGAAAGGACTCTGGCTTGAGTATCAAAGGACCTGAGTTTAAATCTCACCTCTGACACCATATTGTGATCTTGAGCAAGACATCTAAACTTCCTCAAGTGAGTTTTTCAGGTAGCAGGGTGAAAAATGAATTAGGGAGAATTCTTTCTTTGTAGTGTCTGCATTACTTGGAAACTCATGATGTGATAGCACCAAGCACTGGTTACTGTCTTGAATGAGAAAAGATGTGGTTGGATCCTCTGATCTTTTGGCACTTAACCACCATTTTTGCTCTCATCCCTTCAAACTTCTTGCCCCCTTGTAATGAGAAATAAACTTCATCTGGTTGAGTGAGGAAGCTAAAATTGCCACCCTGAAGGGAGTTTTTTCTTTATTGCATAAAATATAATTTATTAAAATCATACCAAAGCATTGACTAATTCATGGTTTCTATCTTTGTAAAATAGTACTGAATTGAAGTTTTAAAGAAATAGAAATGTCTAAGCATAATTTAAGTAGCTTTTTCTATTAACTTTCATCTGTCAACTCTGTTGTGCTTGGATCAAGTGCTTGGAAATAAGATTGTGGGTAATATCACTGGAATAGGATTAAAGGATCATAGATATAGAGTTACAAGGGATCTTGGAAACTGGTTGGCTGACCCTTTCCCCATTTTGCAAAAGAAGGAAAACTGAGGCCCAGAGAGGTTAAATGACTTGCTTAATATCATACAGTAAATATCACATGGTTGTTGTCCTTTGTTCTGAAAAGGCACAAAATGATATCATTATGCTAGTCAAGTTTCAATGTTTCCGACTGTGGTTCATCAGACCAATATGAGCTCAGAATGTTCTACCACAGGTAGGGCACAAATAGTCCTTATTAACATTTGAAGTGGATTCTCTAAATTTGTGCTTCTTGCACTTCTTCTGAGCTGTTTCAATTCTGCTTTGCTCATAGAGCACAGTACCTTCTCTGATGTGGGCACATCAGCTGAGCAGTCCTGTGCCAGCATCTCTCATGTCACACAATCAGTTCCAAAGTTCTTAAGAGAGACCTTGAGAGTGTTCTTATATCGCCTTTTCTGACCACCATGTGAGGACTTGCCCTGTGTGAGTCCTCCATAAAAGTTTTTTTTTTGGGGGGGCAAGCATATGTTTTGCATTTGAACAACATGACCAACCATTGGAATTGAGCTCTCTGAAGCAGAGTTTGAATGCTTGGTAGTTTAGTTCAAGAAAGAATCTTAGTGTCTGGTACCTTATCCTGCCAGGTGATCTTCAGAATCTTCCTAAGACAATTCAAATGGAAGTGATTCAGTTTCCTGGTATGATGCTGGTATACTGTCCAGGTTTCACAGGCATACAGCTATGAGGTCAGCACAACAGTTCTGTAGACCTTCAGTTTGGTAGTCAGCCTAATATCTCTTCTCTCCTATACTTTTCTTCAGAGCCTCCCAAACACTGAGCTAGCTCTGATAATGCATGCATCAATATCATTATTAATATACATCCCTGGAAAGTATACTAACCATGTAAGTGAACTTATCCACAGCATTCAAAACTCTCCATTTGCTGTAACCAATGGTTCCATGTATGGATGGTGTGGTTATGGCTGATGGAGTACCTGTGTTTTCTTAGTGTTAATTGTTACTCCAAAATTAGCACAAACAGCAGAGAATCAATCCATATTTTGTTGTGTCTCACCTTCAGAGGCTGCATTGATTGCACAAACAGAAAAACATGCATTAACACTCCCTCCACTTTGTTCTTTACTTGTAGCCTTTTCAAGTTGAAGAATTTACCATCAGGGAGGTAGCTGATCTTGATGCTGTATTCATCCTCATCGAAAGCATTTGATAACATGGCTAAAAACATCATGCTAAAAGGCATGTGAGCAAGCACACAACCTTGTTCCACTCCATTGGTAACTGGGAAAGCACAAGAGTAATTGTCCATTACTGAGAATCCGGGAAAGCATGCCATCAGGAAATTTATTACAACACTTATGAAATTCTCTGGGCAACCAAATTTTGGCATAATTTTCCATAAGCCTTCACAATTGAAAATATCACAGGCCTTGGTCAGATCTACAACTCTTGTGTACAGACTGCTGTTCTGCTTCTGGCATTTCTTCTGGAATTGTCAAGCTACAAACACCGTATCGACCATTCCTCAGTCCTTTCTGAAGACACATTGGCTCTCAGGTAGATGACTATCTTCCAGGTAAAGGATCAGCCCATTAAAGAGGACTCTGGCAAGAATCTTGCCGGCAATGACTAAGACAGCAAACCCCTGAGATAGTCACAGGACAATCTATTTCCTTTACCTTTAAAGAGATGGATAATAGGGGCATCCTTGAACTCCTAGGGGATAACTTTCTCTTGCCATATAATCTAGAAAATTTCAGTCAGCTTTTGTACGAGCAATGGACCCCCTAGTTTCAGTCTCAGCTGGAATAGCATCAGCACTATGTGCTTTGCCACATGAAAAGAACCTGATGGCATTCAAGACCTCTTCATCAGTTGGAACTTCTGCTAGGGAGGGATTGACTTCAACCTGAGGTAAAAGGTCAAAGACCTCAGCATTGATTGATGATGGTCTGTTGAGAACATTATGGAAGTGTTCAGCCCATCTCTCTAGGATCATTTCCTTATCAATAATCAATGTGGTTCCATCATCACTGAGTAATTGAGAAGCACCTTTGGTCTTTGGCCCATAAATAGCCTTTGGGGCATGATAAAAGTGCTTTTGATTTTTACTATCAGCATAAAACTGAATTTCACCTGCATTATTACTGAGCCAAGAATCCTGCATCTCTCTGAGTTTTGCATGTATTTTACTTTTGATGGAGTGAAACGCTGCCTCCTTAGAGATGGATGAACTATCCTGCTGGTAAACCCTGTGCAGTTCTTGTTTTTCATTTAGCAGCTTCTGAATTTCCCCATCATTTTCATCAAACCAGTTTTGATATTTGTAAGTGTTCTGACCCAGATGAGCAAATGCATTGCTATACATCAATTCTCTGAAAGCTACTCACTCCTTTTCTGCTTCACTGCTGCCAACTGTGTGTTGGCTCAATTTTCCCTCCAAGTTAGCAAAAACCTGTTCCCACTCAGAGAAGAAGTCTAATCAGCTGACATTAATTCATCTGGTACTCATTTTCCCTTGGGAATGCTGTTTTTGTTGAATGCAAATATTGAGCTTAGAGAGGATAAGTCTATGATCAGTCCAGCACTCTGTGCTACATGTTGCCTTTGTCACTCTCACATCCTGTGTGTCTCTTCTCCTTATAATCACATAGTCTATTAAATGCCAGTGTTTGCTGTGAGGGTGCATATTGTGTTTAGGTAAATGGAAGGCAGTATTGGTGATGAGAAGGTCATGAAAAGCACAAGTTTTCAGTAGTGAGTGACCACTGCTATTGCTGTTTCCAACTCCATTCTTCCTAGAACTCCCTTCCAAGTCTGGTAGTCTGAGCCTCCTCTAGCATTAAAGTCACCCAGAATTCAAAGCTTGTCCTCTTTTGGCACATTGATGATGAGGGTCTCATCAGGGTTCATCATGGTGGGAGCATAGGCACTGATGATGGTCTTGTGACCTTTTCCTGCAAGTGGCAATTGCCTTGTTGCGAGCCTGTCATTCACTCCTCTTGTTAGGTGTACAAGTTTGTTAACTAGATTAGTTTTGATTGTAAAACCTACACCAGCTTCACAATGCTCCCACTCACTGGGGCCACTCCAGAAAAACATGTATCCAGCTCCAACTTCAGTAAGCTGGCCTTCATTTGCTAGCCTTATTTGATTCAGGGCTGCTATTTGGATGTGATACCTACTGAGTTCTCTTCCAAAAAGAGCTGTTCATCTTTCAGGTCTACTGGATTTTGTGTTGTGTATAAGTGTGCTCACATTCCATATGCTGACGGTGAGTGGAATCATCTTCATAGATGTTTTTGTACATTTTTTTGTGTTTCAACCACAGAGTGGGATTCCCCACCTAATGCAGTAATCAGGCCAGGGTTGGGTAAGCAGACAATTTTTAGGGCACCTTTTCCAGCCCCTTCCTCACACCAGGAAATGAGCAGAACGATCCTTAAATGGCTGCTCAGATACCCAGGGGGCTGCTGAATTCCATTGCTGCTTCCAGTGAGAAAAATGACCCTATGGCCTGGGACACCTGTGTGCAGGATTGTGACTATAGCTCCCATTGTGTCAGCACCTGCTGCTTACTCACTTGCCTGTCTCCACAGGACTTTGAGATAGGTAAGATGTTAAAATGCTATGGGTGATGTCTTTTCATTCATGTGGAAATTGAATTAGAGTAAGGCAGAGTTGCATAGTGTGGTTGGCCTCACTTTTTCCTCTACAATCCTCACAGTCTGGTGCTAAGACAACTAGTGATGGCTCAAGATACAGTGGATGACCTTGGCATCTTCAAAATCTCCTAAGCTCTAAATGTTCTAGGATGCCTCATTCATGGCCATTGGAACAAATTGTTCTCATTGGCCCATTCTGCCAGCGGAAGTCTTCACATGCTTGGGGTAGACAACCTCTTAACTCACCAATGGGTTTGAGACACCTCATTTACCCTCCACCTGGTTTAGCCCGTCTGCCAAAATGGTTTACCAGGGTGTGATCACTGGACATGCTACAGTTTCTTGGAGCCACAGGTGCAAGTTAGGTGGAACAGGTGGACACCAAAGGTGGAAAGCAGCCCTGAAAAGGGCTTGACAGCCCTCATACCAGAGGTCTTCCCTGAGTATACCCTACACTCCAAATATCACATAGTAAATATCAGATATTCTGAACTCAGATCTTCTGACTCCAGAACCAGCATTCTTCTACCTGTACTTCCCCAGGAGAAAGAAATATTCACGTTACCAGATGTCAGGATTGGATTGAAGAACTATGAATCCAAGTAGTCAGGGCAGGGTTTAGAGAAGCTAAAATAAGGAATTAATTAAGAATTAATCAAGAGGGCATTTATTTCATAATAGTCCATGGAGATCTAAAAGAATAAATAAATCTCAGAAGGCAAGCACAAACAAAAAGTCAGAAACAAAAGTAGTCAGGTAAAACACTAAAGAAGATGCGGGTCTAAGAGACCAGGAATCAATAAGAAGTCAAGCATTAAGCACAATTAACCATCAGCTGAGGGTGCACTGCTGATATTGAGGTAAAGGCTGGCAGACCTAGGAGCTCCTTGTCTGATTGCAGGAAGAGTCTGACACTGGCTGAGGGAAGACTGAGAGGGATGTAGATCAAGTAAGTTCTAAAAAAAATCACTGCTTTCCCAGTAAGATTCCCTTACTGAGTCTAAATAAAAACTCACCTGTTAAGTCCTGGATGTCAGTGTAGTGTGATTAAAAAAGCACCATGTAGAGTGTCAGGAGGCCTAGGTACATGTCCCAGAGGTGGCATTCACTTAGTATGACACAATTCAACTGCTTCAACTTCATTTTACTTATATTATACACACACATAGACAGGCATACACATACCTATATACACATAACACATTTACTTGTAGTACATATATAAGCTCAAGGGTTGACTCTCCCAACCCTGATAACACCTGCCTTAGTTCCTTGAGTTTGGCTACAACCCCACCAACCTTACAGTTTTGGATGGTAGACAGGAAGGGATGAATTATTTTTCTAATATGAGGGTCAAGCCCCATTCTAGCATGTTCCCTTCACTATCAATAGCCAGTGATTATTGCCTCAATATAATTTGGCAATGCTAGTTAGTATCACTCAATTATCATTAAACTAATTGATAACTCCTTGATATCATTGATTAGCAATTAACATCAGTTTTTACAAAGACAACTTTATTGAAAAGATATATCAACAACAAAAGTACAAACACAATCCCACCTCAATTTAAGAAAAAGGGTAGGGGAACATGCTACCTCATGTGAGTTGGCAGCAGGCAGAGCACACCATGCATGTTCAAAGGACTGGGACACTATTGGCCAGTTCTCTGTTAGATGTAAAGCAAAGAGAGTTTCACTAGATGGCCACAAAAACCCCTTCCAGTTCTAAAGGTGTAATTCTATGGTCAGAAATCTGATTACATTTGTTTAGGTCCTTCTTTAGTGCTCAAGAGAAGATCTATTTTAAAAAAATCCCTAAAGACAGTTCAAGTCAAATTGTTTAGGAGTCAGTATACAGAGTACTTAAAAGCAGAGATCTGATTGTCCCACAAACTAAGTCCAGGGACCATGAATCTAATCTCTGTCATGGGTATTGGCAGATAAGCAGTTCTGAAGCTGAAATGGTAGGACATATAACTGCACAGACGCCTTCTTGGATACACCCGTGGTCTAGCTCTTAAGCAGTGCAGGATCTACAACCCCTGCGAAACAGAAACATCACACAGGCTTATGAAAGACTGTTCTCCCTTGAAGGAGAGCACATGTACAACACCCAGGGAAAACACGACGAGAGAACCCCATAGCTAGGATACCCTAAGGTTTAGGTGTAATTGGCAAGGTAGTCCCCTATTCTCTCAGGCCACACTTCAGTTCATCTAAGAGTTATGTTGGGGGGAAGCTAGGTGGCGCAGTGGATGCAGCACCAGCCCTGAGGTCAGGAGGACTTGGGTTCAAATCTGGCCTCAGACACATAACACTCCCTAGTTGTGTGGCTCTGGACAGGTTACTTAACCCCAATTGCCTCACCAAAAAAAAAGAGTCATGTTGTTCCATTCATGATAAATCAACATTATAGAGAGTGCTGGGGGGCCAGAAAGACCAAATAGAAGCTAGGTGGCAACATGGTTAAAGCATTGGACCTGGAATATCAAAATTCAAATCTAGCCTCAGACACATCTAGCTGTGTGACCCCTGGGCAAGTCACTATTTACCTCAGTTTCTTCAACTATAAAATTGGGATAATAATAACATCTACCTTATAGGGTTGTTGTAAGGATCAGATGAGATATTTGTGAAGTGCTTAGCCCAATGCCTGGCACCCTTCTCCCTTTCCCTTTTGCTCTCCTACTGTATGTACAGAGGCCCTGATATTACCTTCCTATGCACACATATAAGTGAGCTCCTCCACTCCCATGCTCATTGCTAACTAACGTAGCTTTTATTTGCTGTGGAATAGCAGAAGAATGACTTCTTTGATCCTCAGTTTTATCATCTATAAAATGGAGAAAAGACTTATTTGGAGGCAGTGTGACATAGTGGATACAGTTTACTTGGAGCCTAAAAGACCTGGGTTCAAATCCTGCCTCTGATAAGCACTAGGACTATGACACCGGACGAGTGACAACATCTCAGTAATACATACAGGCAGCTCTCAGTTACAGCAAGTAGTGATTCCATACTGAGAGGACCAGACACTTAGAAAATCACAAGTCTGGGACAAAACCTACCTCCACCTGAAACCTAGCTGCATCATGAGATTGCCAGGAGGAAAGCACCTTGTAAAATATAATGGAAAGGGGAGCTTATTTTCAAAAGCGGGAAATGGCTTTCTGCTGCCATTGATTCATTCTGTTACACACTGAAGTGGGGCAATTATGAAGACAAAGTGAGTGAGTCTGCAACAGTGTGAGTTCCCTATGCCCATCTTTTTTTCTTCAATCAGCAAAAGGTTATTCTGGCAAACATTTCTAGTAAGTTATTCCTCTCTGAGGGGAGTTTTTCACTGTAAATGCAGGCAGGTGAGGTGGGTTATAGGAAAGATTTTTTTGCTTTGGACAAGCCATATCAAGACTAAAATTTCTGAAGATTATTGTTACAGATTGCACTCCCTCTTGGAATTGCTAAGACTTTTAAAGACCCATAGGCACATGGGTCTAATGACTCTTTCTTTCGTCTTTAAAAGCTGCCAAGTGGCATCTCCACAATTGGAGAGTTATAGAATCACAGAATCTCAGTGCTAGAGAGGATTTCAAGGACTCCATATCGAACAACCTTAAAATAAACAATAATCCCCTTTATAGCACACCTAGCAAATGGTCATCCATTCTTTGTCTGAAGCCTTCTACTAAGGGTGAACCCACTATTTCCCACAGCAGCTCATTCTACTTTTGGTGAGGCATCTAGGTGGCAAAGTGGATAGAGTCCTAGCCATGAAGTCAGGATGGTTTGAACTCAAATCCTGCTTGTCTCTTACTTATCTGTGTGATCCTAAGCCAGTTATTTAAACTAACTCAGCCACAGTTTCCTTTTCTGTAAAATAGGGACAATAATAATAATACCTCCCTTATAGAGTTGTTATGAGATGCAAATAAGATATATATGCATATGTGCAAGGGCTTTGCTAACTTTAATGTACCACATAAATGTTAGCTATTCTACTTGTTAGGGAGTTTTCCTTATATAAAATCTCAATATGCTCCTTTGCAACTTCCAACCAGTTCTCCCAGGTTTGTCCACTGGTGGTAAATCAAATGTTTCTTCCACGTAACAGCCTTTATCGTATTTTAAAATAGCCGTCTTATTCCATTAAGTCTTTTTTCTCTCCAGGATAAGCATCATTTCCACTTTCTTCAACTGTTCTTCATATGACAACTCAACTATCATGGTTGCCCTTCTTGGGATATTCTCAAGCTTATATACTAAACACACTACTAAATAGTGAGGATATAAATACAAAACCAAAATGATCGTTGTCCTCAAGATGGTACATCCTAATAGAAGAAGAGAAATGAATAATTGGGAGTTAATAAAACTTAAACATTTTCACATGAATAAAATCAATTCAGTCAAAAGAAGATGAAAAGAAACAGATTAGGAGAAAATCTTTGCATTAAACATTTCTCATAAAAGCTGGAGATCAAAAAAATACAGGAAGTTGATACATAGCAATGTAACTAACAAACATTTCCGAAGAGATTTATTTCTTTCCTAATATATGTTGCCCAGAATTCACCAACATTTTATATGCGATCTGACCTGAGAATTCTAGAATGGGATGTTCACCTCCCTGATCCTGGACACTGAGTTTCTCCTCAAGTAGTATAAAATAGCAACAAAAAGTAGCATTAAATTGTACTTTTTTGGCTATTATATCATGTGATTGCTTCATTTAAGCTTTTTCAGTTCACTAAAACTCCAAAGTATTTTTTTCAAACTGCTCTTCTTCCCAATATTGTACTTGTAAAGCCGCTTATTTTTTCAACCCTAGATCAAGAATGCTTATGCTCTGAAATTTATACTTACCTGATTTGGTCCAATATTCTAGCCTGTCATGATCTTGGGATATCCTGACTCTGCAATCCAATATGTTGGTGATCCTTCTCAGCTTCCTGTCATCAGCACACAAGTCATCAGTGGCAGCTGTGTGCAAGGATGTAGATGTTAGCTGGCTGCTTGTGATGGATGATGTGATGTCAAAACCTTTTCTCCTATCCTAGGGAATCATGTGATTTCAGAACCTTTTAGAAAGAAAAACACATTTGGCGATGAAAAGTGTGGCAATTTTAACCTTAAAATGCTTGTTTTGACCAAAACAACATCCCCTTGGACCATTGCACATGTATGAAAGAAGTGGTTATACCTTTTCCCCTTCAATTCTACACAATAACTTGTGTTCTTCAAAGCATCAGTGTTAAGCCATCTCAATTTGATTGCTTTTTCATACCATAGAATTATATAGGACTGAAAAATCCATTATTTTTCATAATACTGTTAGCAAGGAGTTCATTTTAGAGTTTCTTTCTCCAGCATAGGAAATAAAAATGAGTGTCTGCTGAAGATTGACATCCCCAGTGGCTTCCATTGTGGAATGAAAATGCAATGTCGATATCTTGGCTTATTAAATTGTTTTAACAAGTACTGCATGTCATTGTGTTTTGCCTTTAGATCCTCACTAGCAATTCCCATTAAAATCCCAAGAACATTCTGGGAGTTTGAGGTAAATTTCTGAGGGCAAAATTTAACCTATTTTACTAAAAATGAAAATGTTATTACGCTTTTTGAACTAAAGTTCTTTGACTTTTTTCTTAATATATACCTTGTCTCTTTTGATAGAACTTTTCTAAAGAAGGTATTTTTTTTTTAAATCACAGTTATGCAACACAGCCATAAATTAAAGAAGTGATTGATGGTGATTGCTGGGCTGAATTGGTTGGCATTTCTACTCAATTGATATTCTATTTCTGGAATATTTGATTCAAAAAACTTCACAGTGATAGGGAAATAATGATCCTAAAATGTAAACTCAGATGATTAGAAAACAAAAACCAACTATTGTCATTTGTCATTTTGTAGCATATCAAGGAAACATCCTAGAGCAATGAACTGATCTTTTTCAAAGCAAACCGTGTTTGTTTAGTGGCAAATAACATGTTTGATTGCTAGATGCCACTGTCCAAACTCCAGCAGTTAGAAGAAACTAATGATTCTTTCAACCTCTGATTGTACAATACTTAATATAGGCAGTCCATGTGATGGCCCATAGTAAAAGAAAGTATTTCAATTACTTTCAGTTAGGAACCCAAAGCTTACATCCATAAAAAAATTTTTTTTTTCCGGACAGCATGAAGTAGTACAATAAAAATTTAAACCAAGAATGAAGATAATCAGTTGTTAATATGTACAAGAATAAAAAAAAATTCAAACTAGGACAAATGAATAAAGACTGCCAAGGTCTAGTCTCAGTGTTTTAATTATTTTCTCGCCTTTTTATTCCATTTTGTTTTGTTTTTTATGGTGGGAAATGTATAAACTATAGTCAGATACATATTTTCTGAGCTTGTCTCTAATAGTGAGGAAAAGAGTAAAAAGTGTAGGTGACTAAGGTAGATAAAGTCACTCCAAATTTTGAAGACCAAATATCATCACCAGTCTATAATTTTTTTGGTAATACTTGCTAGACTGTTTCTAACACATATTTTAAAATGTGGAGATGATGATACAATCCGGCCTTATTCTTGGTTAAATGTCAGTTCTGTTTTCCCTTCTGAAGGGATGTGATCATTTGTGATCATTTGTGATTTCAAGACTTACTGAGAAACAAAAGAAATATGCCATGTGCCCCGTTCACTCCTGACATTTGATGTCTCCCTAAATATTGCAAATGTAATTTATACAAAGATTTCCTCTAAGTTGGTGAGTATGAATATTACATTACCTAGAGATGTTCATTTTTCTTAAAAATGGAATAATGACAGAACAAAAGAAACCACCAAATAAAAATGTCATTGGTAATCAATAATAGTTTATAAAAGATTGAATATGAGATGAAATCATTCACTAAATAGACAATGACCTAGCAGATGCATTGAAAAGAATTTTAACTCACCAGAAATTTTACCAGCCCACAGAGTTCCTAACTCCCCTCCCACATTTACCAGTGTCATAAAAGGTGGCATATAATGGAAACAAGCTTGGAGGAAGGAAAGTACTAATGATGTTGAAATTGTCTTCATTTTGCATTTGCTCAGCTTTAAGGTTATTCTAAATGAACCCAAGCAATGGATCTTTGAACTTTGGTCTGCAAAATAACTATTCCTTGGATCATTGTTAATTTCCATAGCTAAGAAAACTTTGGCTGTGTAGGAACCTATTCAAATAACTTAATATAAATAAAATAATATTTCTGTGGATTTTCCACACACAAAAAATCAGATATAGAAAATGCAAAAATTCAGATATATAAAATGCAAATTTTCCACAAAAGATAAATTTCTTCCTCCAATCAGTTTTTAAGGAATCATGAAATGATTATTGATTGTGAACTAGTCTTCAAAAAATAAGAAAGTAGAGATACTTCAGGGAAAAAAAAGATAAAAGTAGTGTCAGAGAATAAAGTACAGTGATCTCTGAGGTTTAGGAATAAATACAAATGTAATAAGATAATACAGAACTTAAAAACAGGTAAGACAATCGGTATAAGGCCTGGGTAACATAATGGAAAGTGTGTTAAACTTTGAATCAGAATGACCTGATCAAATATGACCTTAGACACTTATTAAGTTGTGTAACCCTGGGCAAGTCCCTTAACCTCTGTTTACCTTAGTTTCGATAAATGGAAATGGTGTGCAATAAATGGGAGTAATAGCACCTATCTCCCAGGGCTGTTGTGAGAGCCAAATATGACATGCATACTACTTTATGTACAGTTATGTAAGTATTAGCCATCTTTACTAAGTATTTACCTCCATATTACATTTCCTATTTATTGCAGAAGTATATGTCCTCTCAGCCTCTCTTCCTAATTCTGCCTTTGTCTCCTTTGATTCTCTCTACCCCAGAACTATCAAACCAGTGTAGCTAAGGAAATTCTGGGGCCTCATCTTGGATGACTCTACGAAGGTGCATGGAGGTTTGTGCCTGAATGAAATTTAGAGAATATCAAGCCAACCCTCTCAATTTCTAGAGGGAGATAGTGGGACCCAAAGTAGTCAGGAACCATACCCAAGGAGATAGCTAGAAAGTACGTGAGCCTAGATTTGACTTCCAGGTTTTCAGACTCAAAATCTGATGCTTTTTCTTCTACATGCTATATAGTGGTTTGTGCAAGTCAGGGTGCCTGACCTAGACTGAACTAAAATTATCAGTGGGGTAGCTTTGATTTCAGTGGAGTTGGTTTTAAGCTAAACCAGATAATGTTAGTCAAATATCCTGACATCATCATTGACTTACTAGGACAGTTTAAGAGCTTGAGAGTACAACCTAAACAATCTGTAATTGGTAACCACCAGGCACATTCAAACTACTTTTCTAGTTGTTTACACATTTCATATACATATATACATGTATGTGTCTGTATGTGTGTATATTTATACATATATATACATACACACACACACACACGTTATTATACATAGGCACAGCCAGAGTATACCAAACTGACCTTCTTTCATTTCTCTTTCACAAAACTCTGCACAGCCAGAGTATACCAAACTGACCTTCTTTCATTTCTCTTTCACAAAACTCTATCTGCTGCCTCCATACCTTGATATAGGCTGGTCTACATTCCTGGAATGCACTCCCTCCTTGTTTCCTCTTCTTAGAATCCCTAGTTTCCATCAAAGTTCAACTCTAGCTCCAGCTCCTACCTGAGTCCTTTCCTGATGACCCTATCATCTCATGCCTCCCACTCCATTACCTTGTATGTATTTAAATGTGTGTATGCCCCCCTCAATTAAAAAAGTCCTTGAAAGCAAGGCCTCTTTTTGTCTTTGTATTCCTACTGCACATATTGCTACACATGTGTGCGTGCGTACACTTCCGTATTCTTTTGCATATATGTATATCTGTACATGCATATGTGTATGTTTTATTTTTTAAACTTTATTTTATTTTATAATTAGTGTGTGTTTAGTAGGAAGTTAGACCCTTAGAGAAGCTGAATTTTTAATAACACAAGAAGACAAAATAATAAATCTTACATTTTGCTACTGTTGGGTAATTACTCACTGTCTTCTTTCACCTCTCTCCAACAACTCTTAGAGACGTAAATACTTTACTTTGTACTCAATTAACCAAACAGACATGAGTAATTACAGCAAAACATCTCTCTGGCCTTATTTCAATGTTTTCAGGAAGTACATTTTAATAACCCACTACACAGAAAAGTCAACCAAGCATGAATTAAAGAATGAAAGTTGAAAAGAGGAGAAGCAAGAAACTAAACTGTTTGACAGAACTGGATGAATGACCTTACAAAAATTACCACAAAAACTGGGAAAAAATAGAAACAGAAGAGCATTGATTTCAGAAACTACGTCTGGTTGCACTTCATTACCGTCATAGTTGTTTCATTCTACTAACCCTACCCCAGTGACCTAGGCTATCAATTCTCAAACCATTCTCTAACCTTTAGTAACAAATCTCTTGCTCTGTCATGAACCTATTTCTCATATCACAGACTTGCCTTGGAATTCAACTATATAATTTTAAAGGAACAGTAGCACCACAACCATTTAATGAACTTTCCAGCATTCTCCCAGGTTGTCTGCCCGAGGTTAGGAGCAGTCAGAAAAGCTCAGGGGTTGACTCTCTAACCTAACCCTGTTGCCTAGTACAGCTCAAGCAGGGAGACAAGCACAGATTGGCCAGGCTGACACAGTAGGCAAGGGGGTGGTGGGATATTACCTGTCTCCAAACTGACTATTTCTCATACTCTATCCCATAGCCCATACAATTATAATCCCTAAGGTCAAACTACCAAGTCCATATGGATATTTAGCACTGAGAAGACAGAGGTGAGGTACAATAGCTGAGGTATTTAAAGAACTCTTATATGGAAGATGGCAAAATTTCAGAACTAAATGGCATTTTAGAGATCTAATTCATGAAACATACCCAAGGAGTAATCATACTTTTGTTATTGTTGTTGGCTTGAATGCCATTTCATTCTCCAGCTCATTTTACAGATGAGGAAACTGAGGCAAAAAAAGGTTA